CACACACACACACACACACACAGTGACTGAACACCCCCCACACACACACACGCACACTGTGACTGAACCCCCCCCCACACACACACTGTGACTGAACACCCCCCACACACACACACACACTGTGACTGAACACCCCACACACACACACACACACTGTGACTGAACACCCCACACACACACACACACACACACACTGTGACTGAACACCCCCCACACACACACACACACACACACACACCTGCTGTCTCTGGAGCGGTGCAGACTGCCGTGGTAACTGCTCATCTTGGAGCGGGCGCTGCGGACCGAACCAGCCCGGCTGCTGCTGGGGCTGGGGGGTTCATCCAGCATGGCCAGGTGGGTGGAGGAGGCGTGGGTAGACGTCCCCTGGGTGGACGTCCCTCTGGACTTCCTGACGATGGGTGTGTTGGGGTCTCTGTAGAGCAGCTGCGCAAAGTCTGGCTCCTGGAGCACCTGCCGGCTCCCGTTGACCATCACACTGAAGGGGGGGGGGGATGGAGGAGTGGGGGAGCAGGCAGTGGGAGAGAGGGTTAATGCTCTGAGTTGGAGGAGAGTGGGGTGAGTACAGAGAAGGACCATCTACCAGTCTTGCACTGTGTGTGTCCCCCTGCAGGACAATGTCTGTCTTCAGAGTGTCCCCATGCAGGACGTCTGTCTTCAGAGTGTCCCCTGCAGGACAGCATCTGTCTTCAGAGTGTCCCCCTGCAGGACATCTGTCTTCAGAGTGTCCCCATGCAGGACATCTGTCTTCAGAGTGTCCCCATGCAGGACAACGTCTGTCTTCAGAGTGTCCCCCTGCAGGACAACGTCTGTCTTCAGAGTGTCCCCCTGCAGGACAACGTCTGTCTTCAGTGTCCCCCTGCAGGACAACGTCTGTCTTCAGTGTCCCCTGCTCTGAGCTACAGGCTGAAACAGTTGCATCGGAGTCAGTTTAAATAATTTGGTTTCAGTCGACGGAGACCAGGCAGTTCCCCTTTGATGTCACTTCCTGTTTCACTTGGGCCACGCCCAGTTAAAAAGAAAATGCTGGTTATGAGATTAAATGAGTAACATCATGAATATTTGACTGTCTTGAATATGCAGATGTTTCTTTGTATCTGTAGGACAGAAGCTGGAGCGTCCCAGTGAATCTCCTGTGAAGACTCTGCTGTCTTCAATGTCTTCTGCTTGTGAATCGTCTAAAATTAGAGACTAGATTGACTAGAAACGACCTTTGACCCTGCCCAGATTGACTGGCAGCAAAAGATGCTTCTCTAAGGTCATTGCTGATGTCTTTTCACCTTGGCGTTTTAGCGCTCACCTGTTTGCTCCGGAGCAACAAACACACGCTCCTGTTTTTAGTTTTCTACATTCACCTTATAATCTAGCTGTTTTTGTTACTTTCTTTGCCTTCTTATTTGTAAAAAAATAAAATCTGTATGCCTTTTTATGATTGTCCGTTGTCGTCATCATTCTTTGTTGAATCAGGTCTCTCTTGTAAATGAGTCCTCGAGGCTCAATGGGATGAACCCGACTAAATAGAGGTTGAATGAAAAAACCCTGATCAGCCTCCTGCTGTTCTGATGAGTCATGTGATCAGCTCTGTAGCCTTCAAAGTAAACCCACCCGGTGTGAGCCAATAAGACGTGACCTGATGTTCTCTTCCTGGTTGTGATGCGTGTACATGAAGGACGTACTCTTTGCGCCGCTTGCCGTGGAAGAAGGTGGCCCACTCGAAGCAGGTCTTCTTGCTGCCCACCCAGAACACCGAGGGGATTCCCACAATCAGCATCATCAGGTACTTGATGAGGAAGAGGACCAGGTCCGGCCGGCGGGTCTGCTGCACCTGGAAACATGAACATGCTGGATGTCACCAGTGATGAAGAGCACAGACTCTGGGTCCGTCGAGACGATTAACAGTGAATGTTTTTACATATGAAGGTTTATAACATGCATGACGTCGTCATGTGATGCCAGCTGTGAGTCTCTGCTACTACCACCTTCATCTGCTGGAGGTCTGATGAAACGTCCTGTGGTTTATTTCAGCCACAGGAGACGTTCTGGATCCGTTTGCTCTCATGTTTGGTGACTGCAGGCCCGTTCTGTCTCAATGTTAACCAGAAGACGAGCAGATCATCTCGTTCATCAGAGGCTGCCTCCATCAGAACATCTCAACGAGCACTTCAAGATTTTCTAAAAAAGTTCAATCTGGTCCTCTGGACATTCAAAAAAAAAAAAAACCAAAACAAAGCAAAACAACAAAAAATGTAGAAACGTTTCGTCTCTCATCCGAGAGACTTCCTCAGTCTGAGGTGCTGTATTCAGCTCAGTCTCTTAAATAGCACCTTCTCAGAGTGGATCAACCAGTTTGCTGCTGACAACCAAAACCAGCTGCTCACATGCTCAAGAAGGACCATCAGCCTAACAATAGATCATTAGCACACTGATGGCTGTTTACTATTCACAGAGGGCTGAGTGATACTAGCAATCACAGCATTGTAAGAGGGGGACAGTTGAACCCGGAGGCCTCCACCCCTGTTTAATGATGGACGATTTCTTTTCACAAAGATGGCCTCCTTTACTCCTCTCTCAAACCATCGTTCCTCTCTGTCCAGGATGTGAACATCTTCATCCCTGAAAGAGTGACCGCTGGCCTGGAGATGAGTGTAGACCGCAGAGTCCTGGCCTGATGATGTTGATCTTCTGTGCTGGGCCATCCTTTTGGCCAGTGGCTGTTTAGTTTCCCTGATGTAAGACTGATCACCTTCCTGACACTGAACAACATACACAACATTACTCTGTTTGTGCCGGGGGACTGGATCTTTGGGATGAACCAGTCTTTAATGTATTTTGGGGTTTAAAAGCCACTGGGACGTTGTGTTTAGAAAATAAACGTCTCAGTTTCTCTGATACTCCCTCAACATATGGAATGACCACTGGTCTGGGTCTGGGTTCCTTCTTTTCACCTGTTGGCTGACTGGAGTCCTGTTTGGGTTTCTTCTCTGCTTTTAGGAAGGCCCAGTTAGGATATCCACATTGCTCTAGAGCCTGTCTTGTGTGGGATTTCTCCTTCTGCCTGGCTCCTGAGCTAGTGGGGACGCTGTCTGCTCTGTGATACAGAGTCCTGATGACTCCTAACTTGTGCTCCAAAGGGTGATGGGAGTCAAACTGCAAATACTGGTCTGTGTGGGTGGGTTTGCGGTACACCTCAGTTTGCAAATGTCCTCTATCAGAGACTGAGACCTCACAGTCCAAGAAAGCCAACTTGCCATTTTTTTCATCTTCTCGTGTGAACTTGATGTATTTATCCACAGAGTTGATGTGGTCAGTAAAATGTTGGACTTCCTGAGATTTAATTTTAACCCAGGTGTCGTCAACATACCTGAACCAATGACTTGGTGGTGTCCCTGAAAAGGACGTCAAGGCTCTCTTTTCTACCTCCTCCATGTACAGGTTGGCAACAATAGGAGAAACTGGAGACCCCATAGCACACCCATGTTTCTGCCTATAATATTGCTCCCCATATGTGAAGTAGGTTGACTGCAGGCACAGTTTCAAGAGTTGACACAGTTGTTCTGTGGAAAGCGTGGTCCTGCTGCTCAGAGTGGTGTCTGATTTTAATTTTAAACTGACCACCTCTACTGCATCATCAACAGGAATGCACGTAAAGAGTGATGTGACATCATAAGAGACCATTGTTTCATCAGTCTCCATGATGACATCCCTCACCTTATCCACAAAGTCCATGGTGTTCTGTATGTGGTGTTCTGAGCTGCCAACTAAAGGGATGAGTACAGACGCCAGATATTTGGAAACATTGTAAGTGACAGAGTTAATCATGCTAACAATTGGTCTTAAAGGTACACCTTGTTTGTGGATTTTAGGTAAACCATACAGACTAGGTGTGGCCTCCCCTGGGTACAGTCTGTGGTACAGAAAACGGTCAATAGAAGATGCTATGCTGAGAAGGTGCTATTTAAGAGACTGAGCTGAATACAGCACCTCAGACTGAGGAAGTCTTTCGGATGAGAGATGAAACGTTTCTACATTTTTTGTTGTTTTGCTTTGTTTTGGGTTGGGTTTTTTTTTTTGAATTTTTTTGAATTTTGAATTTTGAGAGGACCAGATTTAACTTTTTTAGATTTTTCTACCTGGATTATTGAGCATGCATCAGGATACTTCAAGATTTTATTTGAAAACATCTGTCAGCAGCTGGACATTACAGAGCAGCGCACATCTGCAAGCTCAGTCTGTGTGTTTGTGTGTGTGTGTGTGTGTGTGTGTGTGTGATGTCTGATGATTATCATCAGACAGGCTGAATGTTCTGAGGTCTCATGACCTTCAGCAGAGCTGAGGTGGTGCAGTGTTTTACTCCATGCAGTTGTATTGTGCGTTACAGCGACCCCTCCCCAGCAGAAACACAGGGAGTTCTCCTCCTGCACCTCCTTCCTGTTGTCCTGACTTTGGGTCAGAGCTGCAGGTTTTCTTCATCAGACTTCCTGTTAGCATGAGAGCAGAAGGTGAGGTGCTGCAGGATGTCTAGCTCCACGGCTCCATGTTTACATCTTCAACTAGGACTGGTTCACTTTCATTGGGTCCAGGTCCAGTTAACTGCAGTCCTTCTGGAGTTGGGGGAATAATAATAATTCTGCTCGTTTCAGTAGTTCACTTATTGTTGACCTTTCATGTGAACGTGTGGTGTGAAACATCAGCTGAGGGACACTCGAAACCACCAGGCTCAGAAACGGTTTCTTCTCTGCAGCTGTCAGTCTGCTGACCTCGAGCTGCACCGAATTCAGATTCATACTACTTTTTTAACTTTATTTATTATATATATATATATATTTGTACTATTTTGTATTTATTTATTTATTAATTGTTGGGCTTTTGATCTGGGACCTGCTCTGAACTTGGTACCATAAACATGTGAAGTGGTATGAGAATAAAACTTGAATCAGCTCCATGCATGAACATTTCGTCTGGTATTACAGTAAACTAAGCTTCAAGGTTCAAATGTTGTTGTTCACATGTAGCAACATTAAGAAGCTGTGGTTCGTTTGTGAGTCCTCCTTCAAAACAGGTTCTGTTCAACATAAAAACATCAGAATGTGAGAGCAGAATATTTGGAATATATGCATGAAATTAGTGTAAGAAAACTACGAGAGCAGAGTCAGTTGTACTCTGTGGTACCACAGTTGTACTCTGTGGTACCACAGAGTACAACTGTGGTACCACCACAGAGTACAACTACAGGTCCACAGTTGTACTCTGTGGTACCACCACAGAGTACAACTACAGGTCCACAGTTGTACTCTGTGGTACCACCACAGAGTACAACTACAGGTCCACAGTTGTACTCTGTGGTACCACAGGTCCACAGTTGTACTCTGTGGTACCACAGGTCCACAGTTGTACTCTGTGGTACCACAGGTCCTGAGTGTTGCAGCAGAAATACTGAATGTTTATAAGTTACTTGTTGATCCAACCTTGTGTCTGTGCATCTGAAACAAGTTCAGCTCCTGAATGATGTGAAACCATAAAACCTTCTGGTGTCAGCAGAAGTTCTCAGCACCGGCTGGAAACCCAGACAGGACCGGGTCAGAACCTGTGGAACAAGCTCACCTGATATGGGCAGGGGATGTGGTAGTCTCGGCACTTCTCCTGGACCCAGGTGGTCTCCCAGATGGTTCTGGAGCTGCTCTCGTAGAGGTAGCAGGCCAAGACGATCAGCAGAGGGACCAGGTAGAGGACAGAGAAAACGCCGATGCGGATCATGAATTTGACCAATTTCTCCTGGTTCTCCTTCTCCAGAGGGATCTCCATGCGCACACGATTGAGTGCAGCAATGCCTGCCAGCAGGAGCACGACCCCCACCTGGAACCAGAACCAACAGGACTGGAGTCGGACCAGTTTCTGAACCAACAGCTCTGGAGTGGGACCAGTTAGACTTTATGATGAGAACATAAAGTAAAACAGCTCAAAATGTTTTGGACTGCATCCAACAGAAGTGAAAAGACTAAAATGAAGTTGGTCAACAACTTTGTACAATCTACTTGAAGTGAAACTGAATCCTGAGGACACAGCTGGTCTTTCCAGTCCCCTGGATCCTGTATACATGACACACAGTGCTAGACCACACCTGGGACTGGTTTACTTCAGGTGTGCCAGTCAGGGTTTGGTCCTGCTCCTTAGCTCCAGTTTTTGGCATTCTTAAAAAACCTTTTTCTGTTCCAACGTGGCAGCTCCAGCTCACAAACAGCTGGTTGGATGAGAAGAACTTGACTGGCCCTCAAAGTCCAGACTCCACCCCATCAGGCACCGCTGGATGAACTGGAGCCAGACCTCGTAAATGTTCTACAAAAAGAATGAGCACAGAATCGAACAGGAACAGTCCAGACGCTGAAACGCGAGGACTGCCTTCATCCTGTCGGTGTGATGTTCAGGTCCATATGATGAACACACACAGTGTGAGATGAGTTTAATAACTGATCTTTAACGGGGCACCGTCACAAGAAAGTGATCTCTCTTGTGTGCGCAGTAGTGATGGGGGAAGTAAAAGCTTTTGTTGTGGAGGGTTTGGAACCAGTTGGTGATCTGAGGACTCGAAGCCATTAACACCGAGTAGATCAGTTTAATGCCTGCAGCTCTGTACACAGCTAGATGTCAGTTTACAGCAGCAGATCTACACAATGATTTGAAGGTGTAGAAATGTGAGTCGGGACCCTTTCTCACCACAACATCTAGTCCAAGGGGGGCCAGCAGGAACCAGCGCAGTGCTGTCAGGTTGTACAGCCCCACGAAGCACACCCCACTGATGCTGTCTCCTTCAATCTTGTTCATGGCAAGCAGAGCGACGGTCAAGACCCCGGGAACACCCCAGGCACAGGCGTGGAACAGCAGAGCCTTCTTCTCTATGGCCTCGCTGCCCCATTTGGGAACAGCAGCCAGGAACCAGGTGATGGTGAGGATGACCCACCACACGCTGCCAGCCATGGTGAAGAAGTACAGCACCATGAAGAGCAGAGTGCAGGCCTAACAGCAAAACACAAAGTCACGACGTGCATTAAGCTTTGGAACAGGCAGGAGTGAAACAGTGAGGAACGCACCTTATTATGGGAGCCCTGCGTCACCGTCGAGGCCCTGAACCTCCCGGGACTCGCTGCGTTACAGGAAACTTTGTCCTCCAGCAGGAAGCCAAGGAAGAAGACCAGAGACACCATCATGTAGCACACGGCGTAAAATATGATGGGACGCTCAGGGTAGCGGAATCGAGACACGTCAATGAGAAAAGTCAGGAAAGTGAAGAGGGTGGCAGACAGACAGACAATGGACACCACCCCAATAAAATAACGAGCAAACGCCAGCTCTTCACGAGAGAAATACATATTAGGACAAGGGGGGGAGCAGTCCCGGACCCCCATGAAGGAGTAGCCGAGCTCTGGATCAATTTTGAGTTCCCGGGGACACCAGAAGCCGTAGTCCCTCTGGACGGAGATGGGTGACTCTGTTGTGTCTGAACTGGACAGGAGGTCTCCAGGACGGGGGTAGGGCTCATCGCAGTCTGGAAACCTGGGGGGGGACAATAAGCTCAGGGTCATTTCAGTTGTTCAAACTTTTACAGCAGGCTGCACATGCTGACGATCAGAGAACAGCCAAACTCTTAAAGGATCACACCGTTCCCTACATTCAAACACAAACTGAGTCTTCTTCTGTGTTCCACCTGTAGAAGGTTGAACTGGACCATGGCCCTTACACCAACCTGCTGCAGTCCATCTCCTCAGGCCAGCTGACTCCAAACATGTCCATCAGTTTGTAGCAGTCGCTCTTGGCCTGCAGGCAGAGGCGGCGGCAGGGCAGAGTCATCCGGCCATACTCTGTGCACACCGGGGCATAGAGGGCACAGAGGAACATCCGGAGCTCCGACGAGCACTTCAGGTTCACCATGGGATGGAACGGCTGCACGGAGACACGGAGAGGAACGTTTCAGAAAACAAGGCTCCTTCTTCAGGACGAGGGACGCAAAAAGATCAGTGGAGCAACATTTTTCAGTCAGGTCATCTGGACAGTTTCTTTTTTTGTGCTGAAACATTTCGTCTTCGATCCAGAAGGCTTCATCAGTCAAGGAAACACACAACAAAACTGATTCTTCCCCCAACAGCTTACTCTAAAGTGGAACAAACCAGTTCTGCTTGTGATAAGATGGTCTCTTTGGTACGCCCCTCATCCATTGCCGGCCCTCTTCCTTGTTGACAGTCGTGTCAAACTGGTTGAAAACAACAAAGTCCATGCTCAATAATCCAGGTATAAAATCCAACATTTTTCAGTCAGGTCATCTGGACAGTTTCATTTTTTTTGTGGAGGAGGGTGCGTACCAAAGAGACCATCTAATCACAAGCAGAACTGGTTTGTTCCACTTTGGAGTAAGCTGTTGGGGGAAGAATCAGTTTTGTTGTGCGTTTCCTTGACTGATGAAGCCTTCTGGATCGAAGGTGAAACATTTCAGCACAAAAAAAGAAACTGTCCAGATGACCTGACTGAAAAATGTTGGATTTTATACCTGGATTATTGAGCATGGACTTTGTTGTTTCTACATAATATTCATTAGCATAGACACAGGGGTAGAAATAATGAATTAAAAATACTCACATTACTGTAACTAAGTAGATTTTTTGGGTACATGTACTTTTATGAGTATTTATATCAAGTGTGTAATTTTACTCATACATAAGTACAATTTAGACCATGTAATCTACTTCACTACTTTTAAAATCAGAAGTCTCTACTGAACACGGCCACAACTTGAATTAATATTCAAACGTTCATCTGCATGTTTGTAGCCAATAAGGCTCTCAGATCATGAACGCACCAATTACCTATGACGTAAACAAAGGACAACTCCATAGAGTCATTTATGGACCGAAGATTTGGAGAAAAAGCCAAAATGGAGACAGAGAACAACACTGTCAACAGAGAAAATGGCGAGGTAAAGGCTGAGGACGAGTGCACGTGGCCGTACCTGGAGGACTTTTTAATTTTCAGAGGGTGAAAAGGAGACGGGTCCAGATGCAAACTGTGTTTATCTCTACGGTGACAGCAGCTTACAAGACTTCATCTAATCTCAAAAACATGTGGTATACAAGGTTTTACACCTACCTGCATGATATTGATGTAGTGGACTAAGCCTACGTCGGAACCCAGTCTAAGGTCAAAACTCTTGACCTTTAGAACCTTGTGGGACAGAAGCTGTCATTTCATGTATTTGACTCCATAAATACAGGTTCACCCATCCTGAGACTTTCTTTCTTGAAGATTCAAGTGAAAAGAACACTCTCTTTTTATAATCATTACTGTCTTACAAATGTTTTGATAATCAAGTTGTGTTAGTTCACTCAATGCTTTACAGGTTGAAAAGAACTACTCATTTTTATTTTACATAAACAGTAAGTAATGATTTTTATTCCTCATTCAGAGAAGAAATCACCTGAATAAGCATTTCTTGATTTTCTGTCTTTTGAATGAGCAAGTGTGTGCGTTTACAAGGTTACAGTCAAACGAAAAACAAGTTGTTATGTTAAAACTGTCATGTTTTAGAATCCTCTCAGACGTAAATAGAGATGTTTTGCACCTGTGTCTTAGGCACGCCAAAACAGAACCCTCTCGGTCTGTGAGAACATTTCTGAGCTGTCTCATAACAATTCTCGCTGTCTCTAACCTATTACGTCACAAAAACACACCCCTTCTGGTCGTTTCTGACCAATGAAAAATCCCAAAAAGTGAACCGGGAAAGAGTCTTTTAAAATGTCAGTACTTCCTGGTCTACACAGACTCACGGAGTTACAGAGTTGGAGAGTTGTCAGACTTCAAGAGTTCTGTGGGAGTTCTGTAAACTACACGAGAGCTAAAGTTCTGATGGAGTGCTGTTGGAGTTCCTGACATGACAACGAAGCTCTTCCGAGTTCCATGGGATTATAACATTTTCCACTGAGGTGAATGTGTGTCGAACAGAGCCTCGCCACTACTTCTGACGGGCAACAGCCATTCTAAGGAGACGCTGGACCGGTAGCGTTAACGGAACACCATATCTGCTGATTATCATCAGAGAGGTAATGGGTCAAGTTTCCTACCAAGCGTACCGAGGCGAGCTGGGCTTCTGATGGAGAGTGTCGGTTCTGGAAAACACTTAATTTCCCTCACACACCATCCTTTACTCCCTCTAAACTTCTTTCCATCTTTAAACTTTCCTATGAAGTAGAAATTCTCCCAGATATTTAGAAATGTCTGTGTAAAGTGCTTATTCACATCCGTGTGGGTAAAAGATCATAGTTGTACAGTTTTATAAATGTCTGTGGTGCAGCAACGGTAAAATCATGGCCGTATGATTTTTCCTGATTGATTGCTTATGTTGTTATTTTCATAATTTGCCAAATTAATGTAAATGTTTGATGTTAAATTTGATTCTGTAAATAAATGACCGCATTCATTTTGATGGGTCAAATTTAAATGACGTCTCACGTTTGCATTTCCTTAAATTCAATGCACGTTTTATTCAGTCCAGAAAAATGAGGAACTCGCGTTAAATGATGAATATATCCCAGCATCTGTTCATCTACAACTGGTGGCCCGTCACGTGCTCATAAATGGACTGTAACTCGTGTGCTAATTGATTTTCATGTTGGCATGTGTTGTAAAATAACAGTTGAATCCGTGCGTCTTTACGCAGCGCAATTGGAGCTGCGCGCTTGTGTTACGCTGGCAATGTTTTAAAAGCTGAAATTGTGTCATTGAGTCTTTATAAAGCTGAATTGTACGTCTGTATGTGTAACTTAAGCTGGCTTTGAGCTGTGGAAACGCTTTATTCTGTTTAAACTGTGTTCTGACGCTGTTCTGGTCCGATTCGGTTCTGGTTCCGACTCGGTTCTGGAGCTTCGAACGAGTTGTTTTAAATAGCTAGAAAGACGTTTTGTCACGGAGCGCCGTTCTCTGTGCAGCTCAGGGGGTTGATTCGTTACATTTTTAGCAGAGACAGTTCATTTTGATGGTTTAAAAGACGATAAGTGATGAAATAGCTTCAGGCTGAATTTAACATGCTGGTTATTGCTAACGCTTCGTGGTTGGTTGTTTGCTGCTTTGGGAAGCTCTGATTTGCTGAGAAAGGTTGACTGACGTCACCTCCCCTCACCCCTACGCTGCGTCATTGGTTGAGAAAGACCGTGTGTAACGTTCTGATTGGATGAGGGAAGTGTCAATCACGCCACCCGGAAATGAAATTCGTTTTCATAGGGAATAAAATCTGCTTTTTAACGCTGGAAAGCGCATTAAAGCTGTGTTCTGAAACGCTGTTTACATTCATTCGAAGCATATTCGCTGAAAGTTCGCCACGTTTGAGTTTAAAGACCGTCATAAAATGATGCTTTTGAACTACGCTAGCGATGCTAAATTTTAAGCTAACAAGCTAATGACCGGATGGATGACGTGTCACGTCACTTCCCCCAAGTCGGAAATGAGCTTTACCGTGCTTAAATTCACTAAATGCGGCTGCATTTTTGTTCCACAACACTCATGTTTCATGATATAAGGTCTGATTGAAAAAATTTTGCCACGTTTGTGTAAAAAAATCCGTTCAGAGGTGTTGGTTTTCACCGAAGCGGGCCGATGCTAATTTTAGCTAATAAGCTAACGACCGGACGCCACAGGAAGTTATAGCACCCCTAGTGGACGACACAAACAGTGTCTGAGTTAAAATTGTTAAGGTTCTGCTGACATCTTGTGGAGAAGACGTGGGATCACAGGTTTTCACTTCGTTTTTAGGTTAAGAGTGACATTTAACGTTTTTATTTTCCTGAAAGGCAATTTTTGAGTTAACAAACTTCCTCTAAGCTGGATAAACACTGTTATCTGCATTTTAAAAGTTATGAAGGTATTTATGCAAAGGGCTTTTACCAAACAAATTTTTATTCACTGATAAATCCTTGAAAAATAGGTACATAATAAAAATTTAGAAACTTTTAAATAAGATACAGTTACAAATATTCACAGAGTTGAATAGTTTACTCATTTTGCTAGAAGATAACGCACGTTTAATTGATAAATCACTAAATAAGAGTAAAGCTTATCAGGAAAAAGAGATTTTCTGATTTTATTTTACCACCTAAACATTTACATCTACTATTTAATTTCTAAATAGCAGATAATGGCGGACGGAGAGGGAAACACTGACCCCTTACAATCCGAGGATGTGGTCCAGACAGCCTTACACATTTTAACAAATTCAATTCTTGGCAAAACTTTGGAGGACTTGCAAGTCCTTGATGACGATCAAAGACATGAGGAGCTGCAGAGTTTATCAAGAGCAGCTACAGTGAAGGAGGACGCAAAATCAGGCCGCGTACGGTTAGCAAAAATCTCTCTGCTTCTGAAGGCGGAATTAGACCGTTTGGTAGTGGAAAAGGGCGTGCTATTCAACGGATATAGGTCTGAAAAAGAGAGGTGTGACGAATTGATGATTGAATCTGAGTCGCTGCAGCAACACCTTGAGGCTGCTGAAGACCTCTCAAAGAAAGAGCTGTCAGAACAGGCTCAATCATATGAGGAGAAGTGTGCCGAGCTGATAAGTGAATCTGAGTTGCTGAAACAAAAGATTCAAACTGATAAGGACCTCTCGAAGAGAGAGCTGTCAGAACAGGCTCGATCATATGGGGAGAAGATTGCGGATAAGGAACGAGCGTACCAAGACGCGTGTGCAGATAACAATGAGTTACAAGCACGGTTGCAAACCGCTTTAAGGGAGCTGGCCGATTGCAAGGCAGAAAAGGGGTTAATAACCCGGAGTTGGCTGACTTTACAACATGAAAATCAGTCAACAAATGAGCGTCTGGCAGCTTGTGAGGAGAATTTAGCTACGGCTACAAACCTGATTGCTGACATGGAGCTAGCTGGCTCGAGACTCAGAGACGAGC